ACTCAGGCTTACTGTCTAGGTGGAACACCACAAACATATCATATGACACTTGCACTTAATAAAACAGCTCAATAACATTTCATAAAAACACAATGCATATAAACCATCCCTTCATGAGGTATGGTAGAACCAACAATAGGCAAAACCGAGGACACGAAAGCTTACCTCACAAGTAATCAATCCCAAGTCAAGAGTCCACAATAGTCCCAAGGTCCACAAACAGCTCAATCACAATCTGTTTAGACCAGCAATCATATCAACCTTCATAATCTAAAAGTTCATGACATAACGACAATGTTTTCTTTTTCGTTTCATGCCATTAGGCTTCTCTCAAAGCCATAAGCCCTTAATCCAAGTGATTCTGACTTAGTTCAATTATTACAGAGTGCACATCAACCGATCTAGGGTCCATAAACCCAATGTACGATTCTGTATGAACAGAACAGTACCCAACTCGAAATTTCTAGAATATCCGAATATAAGTCGGGGCCATATCCGGATATTTCGCGATAGAATGCAGTTTCTGCATTTCGTGAAGATATCACTCAAAGGTTCATCTTGTAACATATATACACGTTAAAGCATGCATCTTTAAACCCAATTAGACCAGTGATCATGTTAGCTACTTAATCCTACCATTTTACATGCCAAGACTGGATCTTTAACAAAGAAACTCATTATCAAAGAAGGGCTCAAAACAAAAATCACAAGTTCTCTTGGAGCTCTCAAACCAGCCCCAAGGTTCTGACTTCAAAGGTCCACGAAAATGGCTATCAAGCAAGGTCCTTTCACAATAAAAATGGCTTATTGAAGCTCAAAAAACCAAGACAATGGCTCCCTCAACAAAACCCAAGAAATTAGCCTAAGTTCTCCTTAAACAACAACCACCACTTAGAAAAGGCTGACTACCACCCTCCAAATGCACTCCACTAAGTGTTTACAACGTTTAATGGGAGAAATCAATGTAAAAGGTAGCTTCTTGGCTCACGATTATGCATAAGAGTCCAAGATTCAAGGAGAGGGGAAGGGTCAGAAACAAAACAGCCAAGGAGTCACCACGTAGAGGCTGAAATATGGCCCGTGGTTCTGTGTAAATGTGTATTTATAGCCTCATTAAGTTTTAAGCGTCGGTATTAGCGATAATAGCTACACTTATCATTTTAATCCCAAACTTTGGATTCAGGACCTAGCATTTTTCTAGGATTTATCATATTTTTATTATAATTTTCGCATCACTTTGCCAATACACACTTTTACGTAGCCGGTATCAGTCCTGACGCCAGTTCTCGTTATTTCGACTCCAAGCTTGGTACACTTGACATACATATTATTCTAAGAATATTCATATACTTATTCTAATTTTCTGGGATACTTCGTCGGTATGCTCTTATACCGTGAAGAAGAACCAATATCTTCACTTTTCGTCAGAAAAACGACTTTCAACATTATTAGACCCTTATATTAATTATTCAAGTCTTCCCATATTTATTCTACGTCAATTATGAAATTATCTCTTTAATTTCATATTTAATTTAATTAAATTCATAAATTATCAGTGCGGGTTCTTACATAAACCATTAAAAAAGCCCTCATCCAATACCTTAAAGTTTTGAGTTAATTGAATTGATTCTTTATATGATATCAGAGCTTCCTTGATCACAAGGTCACGAGTTCGATCTTCACTGTCCCTCACTTTCTAGTGGAATTAAATAAAAAGCGCAAAAGGTAAATCAAAAATTGAGTCTGTGCAATATCCACGCTTCAAGCCCATTTTTAGAGAATAATATAAATCATTAAAATGACCATCACCCAATACCTTAAGATTTTGGGTTGAATTAGTTCTTTATATAGTATCAGAGCTTGATTTATATTATTCTCAAACACTATTCGAGAATAATAAGAGACTATTAAAAAATGGTTACTTCTTGATAATATTGTGTAATTTATAAAATGAAAGGAACTTAAAAAACTTTCATCAAAAACAATAATTTAATTCGCATATTGAATATGACTAATTTATACCAAAGCCAAGCCAAACACTAGATATGGTGCCCGTATTAGGTGGCCCCTTCTAGCTACCAAACTTAAAAGTTAGGGGAACCCATGACAAGAAACGCACAGTTCTAAGAAAAGACTCATTGTTTTTAATTACTATTATTATTTTAAAATAAATATAACGAGGACACGATGGAAGTAATCAGATGAGATTCTACAAATTCCTTTTAATTTAATATTTAAATGAGAATTATAGCGAAGCATTAAGCTAGGTTTCCCTAGCTAGGATATATGCATTGTCTTTAATTTTAAGCATAATGAATTCAGAATTATTTTTTATGCATGCACGAAAGAACACTGAAAAAAATATAAGGTTAATTTACCCAAAAAAGAAAAGAAAAGATAAAGTTATGCTGAATAGAAGGAAAAGACACTACAAATGTGGAAAGCAAAACGATAATAATTAAATTGAAGTGACTACTTAGTAAGTGATATTACAGCATAATTATCATAAGTGATCCAAAGGGGAATATGAATACTGTAATTAAGAGGACAATATTTCATGGTTCTATGCTTTGGGATATAGAGGACAATAATTCCATCCACTCTCCCCCAATGCTCTTTCAATATCAAAAGTGATCCATTCTATTCGAATCTTCTTTCATGTGAAATGACCTCAAACCACTAACACAGTTTTTATTTGTGGCTTTCATTTCGTGAGTGGAATACCTTTATACTCCAAACTCTCCCTTAAATTAACCTTATAATTGGCAACATCACCATGAATATGTTTAGTTAAGGAAGGTTCTAATAACACCCACGGTAGGAATTTCACCTTTTTATACCCTTAAATGTAAATGGTCAACGACATATATCTTTTTCTACAGTTTTACAGTGCAACCTCAAATTCTCCCTTCCTCCCCTTTGGATATATTTTAAGAAATAATTGAAATTGGGAATTCACTTCTAGCTTCGTCTTAATAATATTCATTTTATGCCTTAATTTCTTCAAGCCAAGCCATAATTACAAGATAATATCATCAACTCTTTTCTTGCTTAAGATTACTCTCGATCATTCCAGACAGTCCCATGGTGAAGCACGTCCAGGGTACTGAGTACTGACATAATAATAGTAAAGCAGCTATTCAAATATATCGAGCAATATCTAACAAATCAACGTTATCACTTTTTTAGTTGACAAATGTTTTCATCCTCTGGCTTTAAACCTCAATCCTCAATTTTGTAGTCCACTGCTGCTACGATTGTCATTTGGATAATGATTTCGATTTGAGTCTAAATATTTTACATTATCAAGTAACATGTAAGTTGTATTATATATATGACATATATATATATATATATATATATATATATATATATATATATATATATATATATATATATATATATATATATGATCCTTTGACACCAATGTGAAATTATAAAGTTTGACATCAAATTTTAACAGTTGATTTTCATTAATCTAACAGTTATAATTTATTAAAAATTAATAATTAATTAATAAGCATGACCCAATAAATTATATATAACCATTAAATTTATTAAATCAATGGTTAGATAAGTTTGACATCAGTATCAAATGATCTTGTTATATATATATATATATATATATATATATATATATATATATATATATGAGGTAGGATCATTTGACACCGGTGTCAAATTTGAAATTTGATCCCTCATCTGAAAGCTGTTAGATCAAAAAAGATCAACGACTCTGGTTTGTAAGCATGTGACACCATTGATCGTTTTTTATCTAACGGCTCTCAGATGAGGTGTCAAATTTGATCCTACATATATATATATATATATATATATATATATATGAGATAATATTTATCATTCTAAAAGATATAAATTTGTGTCATTTTAATTAAAATTACCGCGCTTTGTAATAAGAGAAACAAATATTATGATGAAAAAAGTGGGTAATTTTTTTTAAATTTAAATATTAAATAAAAAATACTAGTTTTAACTAAAATAATTATCTTTTAAGGGGAATTATCCGTTTATAAATTTTTTCTACAAATTTTTACAAATTACACTATGTACTCCCGCGAGAACATAGTGTAACCTAATGTTTTCCCGGGAGAACATAGTGTAGTTTGTAAACAAAAAATTTGTAAAATATAACCTTTCCCATCTTTTAAAAGGAAAAACATTTATATATATATATATATATGGGAAAAAAGTTTCCGATGTTACTTTAGATAACTTTATCTAATATTCATCGAAACGACGTCGTTTTGGAGTTGAAAAATTAAAAAATTAGAGTGATAAAGACTATTATAACCCTGAAATAAATTAAAATTACAAAAATACCATAATTTCCGTCCCAAAACGACGTCGTTTTGATGAACATTAGATAAAGTTATCTAATGTAAGATCAGAAAAAACAAACCTTATATATATATATATAAAGAAATTTTAAAGTGAATATAATAAAAATAAAAATAAAAATATGTTTTTTTTTCAAATTTTGTTTTGTATATATAAGGTCAGGAAGAGTGTTTGTTATTCTAAATGACACAAAGTTATGTCATTTTTTAATAAAACTATGTCGTTTTGATGTATTTTTACATTCTCTCTTTTCTATTTTCTTTTTTTTCATAATTATATAAAAAATAATAAAATATAACGAAATAACATAATTTCATTAAAAATAATATAAAATAATATTTAAAATGAAAAACACTTTTTGTGTTATTATAATTTTTTTGATGGGATGCAATTCCAGTCTTTTCATAATCATAATGTTCCTCTTTCCAACTTTTTTTCCCCCCAATTCTTTAATTCGTTTCCCTTACCTCATCAATTGATCTCCTATGAGTCCTATGTATGAAGGGATCAACGCTATAAATATAGGGTTCCAACTTCATATTCACTCACACAGCAAAGCCCTCAAAAGCAACATTAACTAATTTGTTGTTCACAGCTTCACACCCACTTTCAGTGGCTAGTACTTCTTTAACTACTCTTCCATGGCCGGGAAGATGATATCATCAGATCCTCTTGTTATTGGGAGGGTGATAGGAGATGTAGTTGATCATTTCACTCCAACTGTGAAAATGACTGTCACTTACAACAATAAGCATGTCTACAATGGCCATGAGTTTTTTCCTTCCTCAGTAACCATTAAGCCTAAGGTTCAGATTCATGGAGGGGATATGAGATCCTTCTTCACTTTGGTACTTTCTTTCACCAAATCCCTGCTTCTTCTGTATATCCTCTTCTTAATTTTTCATATTACCGTTTTAATATATTTTCTGTTTTCCATGAATTTCTCTCAGGTTATGACAGATCCTGATGTCCCTGGCCCTAGTGATCCTTACCTGAGGGAACACTTACAATGGTAAGACACTATAATATATATGACATATATGAATAACCTATCAACTATTGTTGAAGGTCATCTTTTCTCTTCATTAAGTAAATTACATATATAGTAACGGAGATAAAACAAAAAAAACATATAAAGGTACATATATAGTTTCAGGGCAACGATTGATTTACAAATTTTTTTTATAAATTTTTGTAAATAACACTGTGTACTTCCGGGAAGACATAGTGTAACTTATTGTTCTCTTGGAAGTAATAGTGTAATTTGTAAACAAAAAAATTGTAAATATAACATTTCTTAATTTCAGATATATAATCATTAATTTAGCTATATATAGCTCTATTAAAAGAAAGTGTCTGACAATTTAATTAATTACTCACAGGATGGTCACAGATATCCCAGGCACAACGGATGCCTCATTTGGTAAGTTATTTTTTGGTCACATTACTGATACATACAGAGTGGCTTTCACTTTATTACTATTATTATCATTTTTAATAAATTCATATATGTCCTTTCCCTTGAATGGTTGAATATATATATATATATATATATAATAATTAATTGAACAGGAAAGGAGGTGATGAAGTATGAAATGCCACGGCCTAACATAGGGATACATAGGTTTGTGTTCCTCCTTTTCAAGCAGAAGCGCAGACAGGGAGTGATGAAAATACCAACTTCAAGGGATCTCTTCAACGCAAGGAACTTTGCAGAAGAGAATGACCTCGGGTCTCCTGTGGCTGCTGTGTTTTTCAATGCTCAAAGAGAAACTGCTGCCAGAAGACGTTGAACCAAAGCCAGACAGAAAGAAAGTGATACAATATTGTCTACAATGTGCTAATGACTAGTAATTAATGGCCTATATAGGTGTAGTGGCCACAAAAATAAGCTTAGGCTACTATGGATGTGGGGGACGCTTTTGTCAAAGTAGTAGGACTTGCTGAACCTGATCAATAAATGGCAGCCCTCGCATCAACTATCCTGTCACATTAGTGTTTTTAGTTTGGTATTTTCATTTTGTAACTAATTAAGTTTTCACTTGGGTTAATATTCTCAGTAAATTATGTTTGCTGACTTCGTAAGTAAGTTGCTAATTTGAATTTGAGTTTTTAATTTCTCATTAAATTATGTTACCAGGAACGAAATGCTATATTTAAAAAAAAATTATTTACAAACTTTTATAAATTAAGTTATGTATTCAGAGAATGAGAGAGTTATATTTACAAACTTTTTATTTATAAATTCTTACAAACTACACTATGTACTTCTGGGAGAACACTAGGTTACACTATGTTCTCCCGGGAGTACATAGTGTAATTTGTAAAAAAAATTTGTAAACGGATCTTTCCCCTTCAAAGAAATACAAACATCTAACTGTATAATTTTTTGGAATATATAATTTAATTTGAAAGAATTTGTAAATATAATATTTCTCTGTATGAAACAAGATACCTTGTACAAGTTGGTAATTAAATGTAGAGAAAAACTATTCTCATGCTATATGAGATAAATTTTCAGGTGATGGAGCTCACAAGTTTATCTTTATGACATGAGATAACTTATCTTCTTTAATATAAAATTAATAAAACCCTTAAATGTAAATAGCTCATTCATGAGTTTTACTTTTGAAATATAATGTATAAAATAATAGGAAAAAATGTGTATCTTTTTAAAGGATACAAAGTTGTGTTATTTTAAGTGAGAGAAAGAGATAAATCATGGGAGAGAGAGGAACAAAAGTTTTAAAATGTGAGTCCCATATCTTTGTAGAAGTGAAAGGATGTAAAGTGTGTCATTTAAAATAACACACATTTTTCCTTAATATAATTAATAAACATGCTACTCTTCTGATATTTTTTGTCGCATATATTCGTTATCAGGATTCAGGCCTATAAAATAATGTCATGTCTATATATTTATTTTATGGCTTTATTAATTTTATGTTGTAAGAAAGTAATTCTCTCTTACTATAGGCACAATTATGAGTATGACTTACTCATTTATAAAAAATAAAAATTGAGTTATACGAAAATCGATGAATATATAAAAAAAAAAATTACTCTCCAATAACATGAGAATAGTTTTTCACTCTATTTTAATTATTGTAATGACACATAAATATGTTAATATCGAAAATGAACTAATGCTCTATTTGCACAGCTATATTATTACGCATCTTAATGTAAAAGCATAATATTATTCACACCATCAACAACTACTTCTTTTACTAGTTAAACATATTACTTAAATTTGACAACATTCAAATAACTACATATATTCTTTTGCTATCCCGTCAAAGGTTAGAACTTTTTGATTTAGAGTTGTAACATTTACAGATGATGATTAATTGGTATTCATGACTAAATACATTCATAGAGGAAGCTATCAAATGATAGGCAGCTGTTAAAGAAATGAGAAGGGGTAGAAGTGCTGAAGCTTGTAATATGAGAAAGAATCATGCGAAGTAATACTTTGCTAAATACGTCAATTTGGTTCAACAAAAACATTTTTTTTTTTACTTATTAGCATTTAGTTTTTTCTCTCTTTCTTTTCTCTTTCTTTTTCTTCATTTAACATAAAAAATTGATTTGACTCCTTTAAAATAAACAAGATATTTTAACATAGAGGATGTACGTGAGTAATTAATTATTTCAAAAAGATTTAACAGATCTATTGATCATTAATACATTACTTATGTTTTGAAAGTTTTTAAATTGATCATTTATTTGTTATTCACTTAAGTGATTCCACATTATTTTTTTTTGATAATTACCAATAGGTGTTCAAAGCCTTGATGGGCTCCACTAATTCGATTTAGAGTTTGAGCTTCTTTACTTTTTGCAGAAATTACGATTCTCAGAAATTAAACTCATTACCCTTTGAACAGATTAAATCTTAAGATTTAATTGAGACACCACTAGACTAATAACTCTTGAGTAGTTTTTCCGCATTTTATATTATAAAACTGTATACTTTAAAAATTTTAATCTTCAAAGATTAATGATAATAACGCTTTTGCAAGAAAAATTAATAGCAAAATATGAAGAAGGGCGAAAGCTACCATTCATGAGCCCAAGTAACATCTTTAAATGATCAATCACAATAAAATACTGTGAATTACATTTTTTCCTGATAAGAAAAGCATGTGACATTTAAGACTATATAAACTCAGATCTGCTTCACAGAATCCATTAAGTTGAAGAAAATTTTCAACGTTGTTTGGATACCGTATATATATTTAGTTTCTATGTATTTCTACCAGATTTTCAACAATGTCCCTGTTTTGTGATTATGGACAAATGCATTAAGCACAAGGCAGAAAAAAATACCAGTCAAATGAATTATTATTTTTTATTTTAAAAACATGTTTTTAGAACAAATTTATCAAACAGATTTTTCTGTTTTTTAAGTTTTAAAACTCTTTTAAAAATAATTTTACCAAACGAATTTTTTTCATTTTTTATTTAAAAAACAGTTCTTATAAATTATTCTACAAAACTGTTTTAGAAAAAAATAATAAAAAAAAAACACGGTCAAATTAACTTGCCCTTTATCTCTGATTCTGGGACCAAAGAATGTCCAAAAATGAATGCAACTACGAACAACTGAAAATACTATAATAAGACACGGGAAAAATGTTTCTCCTTTTAAATGACATAATTTATATCATTTCTCTCTCAGAAAGAGGTGACACCCATATTTTTATATTTTTTTGTCCACTCTCTATCTCTTCCTTTATTTACCTCTTTCTCTCACTTAAGATGACACAACCTTACTTTTTTTTAAAATAATATACATTTTTCCCTAATAAGAACGAAAGTGTGTTGTATCCAAAAAAAAAAGAAAAAAAGAATGAAAGTGTGTTGTTACTCTAAATTGAATCTTTAAAAAATTCAAAAATATTTTTACCCAAAAAAGTTCAAAAAGACTTTCTGTAATGACCTTATTATTGACTAGTTCTCTTTCTCTAAGTAGAATAGTCCAGACTCCAGAAATCCCACTCTTTAAGGCCTGAAGATTCTGAAGTTTAGGCTGAATATAAGATTTTGAAGATTCTGAATTTATTCCTCCCTGGCTATGCAATATGAAGTATGAACCACATGGTAAAATAATTTAGGCGTGCAAACCGCCATTCTGAATTTCTGACGCCCTAAAAAGCTTAGGCTGAATAGTGTTTAGCTATAACAGGTAACTCTTTATATTCCTTTTTGCTTTCATAGCATTATAGCAAACTGTATTCTACAAAATGTAGGTATATAAGGTAAAACTAGAAAGGAAGATCAACATAAAAATATCCCTTTTATGTTAGAACTGAGAACTTACTTCTTATCAATCATGTGGTTCACAAAGTGATATTTTTTTCGTATTTATAAGTGTGTAGGAAATAAATTTATTTTTATAATATAAAAAATATGAAAAATATTTTCTTTTTTCGTTGGAACTGCATGTATGATGGTGACATAGCATGGGACAAAGACCGAAATGTTACCTTTTAACACTTCAATCTTCAAAATGTCATGCTTAAGAAATAAAATAACAAAATGTCATGTTTTAGGACTAATTGTCAATCCCAGCGAATCCAGTTTATCTTGAACAAGAATCTGCCATATTGAAAATAATGGATCCGTTATCTATTCTTTCGAAAAAATCTAATATACTATAGTCATACCTGCATTCTATTAATAGAAACATAACATATGAGCTGACATATTTTTTTAAAAAGAGAGAAAAAGAAATTAAATATTATAACTATCTTTGCTTGAGGTAGAATTATTTGATATCGGTGTCAAATTTAAAGTTTGATATCTCATTGAAAGTCGTTAGATTAAAAAAGATCAACGATTTTGATTTGTAAACATGTGATACCATTGATCTTTTTTGATCTAACAGCTATCAATGAGATGTCAAACTTTAAATTTGACATCGATATCAAAAGATCCTATATCTAAAATATATAATGTATAATTTTATTTTGAATGAGAACTGTACCCAATATAATAATATGAAAGATGTTCTCTTGTTATTTACACGACACTGAACAAACAGACGCTGTTTTTTTTTTTTTTTTATTATTATCTTAGAAGTGAGAAATTTACTTCTTAACAATCATGTGGTTCACAAAAATGGCATATTTCTCTAAAAAGAAAACCAACCTTTCTATTTTTACTGGGAACTGCATGTATGATGGTGACAAAGCAATAGCAATATCTAAAAATGAATCAAACATCGCTCCATTCGGCTACTGCCTATTGGATCCACGTATAAGAGAGCGAGTTTTAGAAGAAGAAAAAAACGTATAACAGAGCGCAACATCGATTGATGAGCAGTCAAGTCAACTTTACATCATCGAGCTTTTAAGAGGAAAGTGTCAATGTTGGTCTGAAGAAAAAGAACATATGTCACACTGAAAAAGAAACATACATGATACAAACGGAAACGGGGAAACGGGGAAACATTGGCGGTTGAGTATCCATATTACAAAAATCAAGTCATTAATGTAAGAATTTTTCACATAATAATTAATATGAAGATCGATACATCTATGATACATAAAACACCACATATCAATTTTTATTCAGAGAAAAATTTGTGTACCTGATTGGTCATCTTATCTACTGAGCGAAAAACCTTGATCTCACGGCTAGAGTCTTCCTCTCTATGACCTATTCCAAAATAGCAGCCTTCAGCGATGGGAGCATGACGGCTCATGAGGCTTAACCCCAATATAAATAGGCTAGTGAGAGGACTTTGCAAAACCTTAATCAACAGTGTGTCTGATGGGTCCACCCA